AAAAAAAAAACGTACACGGCACTTCACTTTTGCAGATGGCGAAGAGGCGAGAGGCCATTTACACGCAGCTAAGTTGCATATACACGAAGATGGAGGCACAGAGACTCCCACAAGCGCAAGCCCAAATATTCATGAGGAATCTGCTGCCACTATAGCAGCTTTAAGAGGAGGATGAAAAAGCAATGAATAAGCAAACCACTAATGCACTCGCACTCAGATTTGGGCTCTACACCGAAGGAATATATAAATATTTGTTTGCGATTTTTGTTTTGTTTTTAGCACTACAGAAATGGCGGGGGAACTCCACCTCCAACGCCGCCAACGCCTCCAGCTTTTCCTGGACCAAAGCCCATTCGAAAGGCTGGGCCTCCCGGCGGGGTAAAGTTGTCTGGGTCAGGCTCTCCAGGAAACGCACGGCCCCCACCCGGGCCCCGCAGACCGCGTCCATCTGGCACATCACCAGGGAACATGGGGTCATAGCGGGCAGGCATGACGCCGCTGCCATGAAAAGCACTGGGGTCAAGCATCATTCCACCACCAGGAATGCCCCCTGGGGAGAGACTGCCGCCAGGCACCAGGTCGCCTTCACCGTAACGAAAGCCGGGTGGCCTCGGACCCGTGCCGGCGAACATGGGACGGGTGACGCCCTGTGGTCCAGGGGGACAAGGTGCGGCAGGAATATACTCCTGACGACTCTCGGTTGCCTGCCGCTGCGTTTCAGCCGTCGAAAGTGTCGTCCCGTTTTCGCCGCCGCCGCCGCTGCCGCCACCGCCACCGGTGTTGTTGTTGCTGAGGCAGGAACGATCTTGCTGTCGAGTGATATAGTCGAATAGTGCTGGCCGAAGCCGTGCGACGGCTGCCTGTGCTGTTTCCGCCGTCCACTGCGTCGTCCCGCACAAACCAGACGCAAGCGGCTCATCCTCAGTGCAGAATGAAACGCTCACTGGCAGTCGCGAAACGGCGGGGTCGTTTTGGTTCTGCAGAATTAGCACCAAATGGGTGTCGTCCATAGGAACCCACTTTACCTTTACCATGCTGTCACCTGTATCGCCCAGGCGATAGTGCATCTCCACCACCGGCGTGGCGCCTCCGTCTTCCTTCTGCAGCGTCCGCCATCCCTCGGTCGCGCTGGGCGACGCCGCCGTCGACCGATTGGCGTAGCAGCACGACCACGTCTTCTTGTCCCCGGCGTCACCGCCATGTATGGCGGACATCATGAGAAAAATTGCCCGCGCAAGCGGTGTCTTTGCCGCCGTCAAGGCGCCAGCAAGCTCCATTACCTCCGTAAACGGCGAAAGTTGGATGGTCCAAACCGTGTGTGGAGTAGCTTCGTGCGCCAAAATGTCTCCTTTTGAGGCTAAAACGCAACGCAACGCAAAAAAAAACTTTTCCTTTCCTTGGTTTATTCGCTCTGCTGTTGTTGTTGTTTTGGTTCCCTTTCTCCCTTCTTTCCCTCGGGCTTCAACAACAGGCCCAGAACATGGAAGAGACGTAATTGCGGAAGTCACGACGACAGTTTCACATCACATCTCTCTCTCTCTCTCTCTCGCTGTGTGTGTCTCCCCCTTCGTGGCTACAAAACACATTCCCCTCTTGTCATTGCAGTTTGGCAGAGCACAAAATAAAGCAAAGACATCAGCAACCACGAGGAA